GGACCCTGAGGGTTAAAGGAACAAAGCCACCTGCCAGCCTCTTGACACGTTACCTGAGTCCAGGCGGTCGAGGTGCCAGGGGTCCGTGGCGGACGACATGGGGGACAGGGTCAGCGGGGAGGCCCCACAGTTGGACTCCACCAGCTCACCCTGGACGTGCACGTGGGCGGAGGCGTTGGTTTGCCTCAGGGCCGCCTTGAGAGGCGCGATCTGGTTGAACTGGACTCTGGAGAGGCAGCCGGTGAATCCCGGGGTGTTGTACTTGTGAATCTCCTGCTCAATCTTCCCTGTTTCTAAAACAAAAGGAAAGACACAGTAAAAATCTTCCTGCTCTACTGCTTTATTCACAATTGGAAAGACATGGAAACCGCCCAAATGCCCAAAAGTGGATGTCTGGATTAAAAAGATGTGGTACATATACACACTGGAATATTACTCGGCAATCAAAAAGATAAACACATGGCTTTTGCAGCAACATGGATGGAGCTGGAGAAGATCATGCTTAGTGAGATAAGCCAGAAAGAAAAGGAGAAATACCGGATGGCTTCACTTGTAGCAGGAGCGTAAAGGACCAGGCGAGAAAATGATAATGAACAGCCATATACCAGAGACATTTTCTGGGGGTGGAGTGGGAAATGGGGTCAAAAACAGGGGGAGAGGGAAATGCACTGGACTATGGTGGTGGCACACGGGTGATTTGGGGATGGGAAACCCAAGGGGATTGCAACTGAGATGGAAAAATGCACAAAAACATGTAAAAATAAACTATAATATACATATAAAAAAATCTTCCCGCTCACCCACGGCAGCTGTCAAACTGTCTGATATAAAAGTCCGCTTCTCAGGGCCCTCCCTGGTGGTGCAACAGGTTAGAGCACAGTGCTATGAAGCTCTCACAGGTGCTTCAGCCCGAGTTCGATGCCCGGCCAGGGGGTGACCCCCAAGGTGCAGTAGACCTCACCTGACTCCCTGCTGCTCCCCTCAGCCGTGGATTTCAGTTGATCTGCCTGTTCTGCTCCCCACTCTGTCTCTGGTGAATCCTTACTGCCCCTGTACCTTTGGCCTGCACCCCAGTTCTGTATGCACAAATAAATAAATCTTTACAAAAATAGGAAGGATTCATAAAGAAGATAGTCAGAAATGGAAGAAGTTGGACCAGAAGTGGCAAAAAGTGTGTTCTGGGAAATCTCGGGGTCCTCTCCCATTCACACCTAGGACCTGGATCACTGCCCTCCTCGGACACCGCAGGTCCAGGGGCCTCCTCCCGGACTCAGCCCCTGGCTGCAACCTCCTAGGTCAGTGTGCTGCATCCCCCCGCCTCCCCCATGGGCCAGGGGCCTGACTTGTGCTGTGGTGAGGTTTCACTTTCTTGAAAGCAAGACCGGTCATTATTTATCTCTGCTCCTCGAAGTGTCGGCCAGAGCCAGCACCCCGCACACCATTAGCGGTGACTGAGCCCTAGAGACTACTTGTCAGACAGCCTGGAGCTTGGTTGTGGGGGCCGAGTGGGCCCTGCAGGCGACGCCCCAAGTTCATGGGTGCCCAAGGTGCATCTGGCTACCTCTTGGGGTGCCTAGGGATGGAATGTGATTTTGCAAGGGGAAGAGAAAACAACACATTTAGATCCCGATATAGTTGTTCCCGAAAGCCCCTCCTATGCCTCACAAATCTGCCCCTCGGAAATGCACTGGTCTGCATACACAGTCCGGCGCTTGTGGTTCACACCCGCTGCGCGAGAAACCCTCCCCCACCAGAGGTTAGCAGAGGCCTGATGGAACAATGGGAAACGTCTGAAATCACTACGCTGAAGCTTGAAGTGGTTACTGGGGCATCAGGCTATTTCATGCGCAGTCAGCTGATACACGCTGGACATGGCCGGGGCCCTGCTAGGTGGGCGGCTGCCCTAAGTCGGGGCTCTTGGGGTGACGGCCTGGGCTCTGGGGCTCCACTCAGGATGGCTGCGTGCGGGCTAGCTTGGTGGGATGCACTGTGCTTATGAGGCCAGAGTCACACAGCCAGGAATCCGAGTGGCCACTGGGATCAATAGGTGGGAAATACCCGTAACTGAAAAACCAAAAAAGGAACAAAAAGCCAAGAACGTTAATCTGGAAGGCAACATGCGCCTGAATGAACCTCCTTCCTCAGTTCTAACAGGACGTGTGATAACGACTGGGTGCTGGGGGGCTCTGGGGACCAGACGCAGCGCCAGCTCCCAGCCCGGCGGCCAGGATTTCTGGAGTCTCCACGGAGGATGTGCTGACCAGCCACTTCTCAAAGACGCACAAGAATCAAGTCCAAACTCGAATGAAATCCATATATGTAACTGATGTGCATAATTAGGTACTATGACATTTTAATAATCCCCAGAAGAAAGACACTAATGCAACTTCATCGTATTTGTTATGTGCCTTTCTCTCAGGTAGAGGCAGATTTGGAGTTTACATGTCGGTGACCTAGGACGTACGTCAACTCGATTACAAGGAGGCAATTTGCCAGGAGGACAAGAGCGATCTTCTACATTGTCACTGCTACATTTTAACTCGTAAATCCTCTTCTAAAGGTTGATTAAGAAAAAAAAATTTTTAAATAACATAATAGTTTATTTTCACATCATTTTGTGCCTTTTCCCATCTCAGTTGCAATCCCCGTGGGCTTCCCATCACCACATCACCCTGTGCCGTCACCACAGTCCCGTGCACTCCCCCCCCCATTTTTGATCCCATTCCCCACTCCACCCCCAGAAAATGTCTCTGGTCTATAGCTGTTCATTATTATTATTATTATTAAGAAAAATATTTTTTAAAGAGACAACCATCCAAAGCAATATCTTAATGTGAAGATGTAGCTTCTGACTATTTTGCAAAACAGGCTTACATTCACTTGTGTGAGCTGAATCGGACCCTGAGCTTTGGGGGGTGTAGGTAGGTAGGCACGTCAGTGCCATGTCTAAAATGCAGCCTGTGAGCTGACTGTGATGGCTGCTTCACACTCAGCCTATCTGTTCCTCACTTGCCCCAGGACTCACCCTAAGAGGCTCACCCAAACAGACGCTGGCCTCGGCCCAACGGAGCACACACATCCGGAAGGTGGGTTTCCCTCTTTTCTTGACGTTTCTGGGTTCAGACATGAAAGCGGAAGCCCAGTGTACCCTTTCTATGACCCTGGGAGCCCTGCTTCAGGGTCTGATTTTTTAGGGCAAATTTATAGGTCTGCAGGGAGTAACAGAGCTCTGCCAAGGCGGTGCACTTGTCAGTCAACCACAGAGCAGGGCGCTGGGACTGTCTTATCAACAAAGGGAGTCAGGGTTTCCCGTCAGGGTGAGTGGGTGCAAGCCATGAGCCCTGCTTAGAGGCAGAATCCTGCATACAAAACCACCCAACTGCAAGGTAGTAAAGCAAAAGAACCGTTTTCTCTGCAGAAACTATTTAAGACGTTGGAAAGCCCTACTATTTCGTAAGCAATACTGCAAGAAGACTATGTTTCAGTGTTAATTTTTTTTCCCCCTTAATTCTTTCCAGTCAAGACTAGCCCTGGCTCACTGGAAATCAGCTCCCTGGGGGCAGGAATTGGGGGGCCTGGAGAACTGAGCGGGGGAAGGGTGCAGACCTCATACGCTTCATGGACAGCATTAAGAGCTAGGCTAGGAAAGTGTGTTAGCAGGTTTTTGTATTTCCAGATTATGTCAAATTGAGTGATTTAGTGAAATAAAAGGTGGTTTCCTTTCTTTGTTCTCATTTGTAATGTCTGCTCCAGGAGGTCTCCAAAGCTTTGTTACACAGAGGAAAAGATCCCAGAGGGCACAGACCCCCGGCAGGCCTGAGGCAAGCACCGTCAAGCACACAGGAAGAAAGCAGGTGCTTCTCCAGGGCGGGGCGGGTTCCCCATTCACCTTCCATCACATAGTTAATTCGAATATTGGGATCCTGACATACAAAAGGATGTCCAGGGGACCAGGCTAAGTGCCCGGGGCGACCCTCGGCCATGGACTGAGACACGAAGTGGAATGTCTCAAAGGTCACGCTGGGAGCCGCAGAGACCCGGAGTCCAGCTGTGGACCAGGAGCGGGGTGGGGTGGGGGGCTCTGGGTGTCTTGACCCCACGCACCCTGCTCTGTTCCTAAAACCGGCTCATTTATTTGCAGACTGAAGGCCGCTGCCAGAGGCTTTCCACATTCCAGCACTTTCCTGAGCCCCTCACCGCAACTCCATGGTCAAGACAGATGTGGGCTCAGGGACACTGCAAGGTGACCACGGTGACGTGAATGCCCGCATTGGGCAGTGGGAGGAAACAGGGCCTCGGGGAGAGTCTTAGTGCAGGGTCCAGGTTTCCCTTCCCCCCTTTGGGGGAGCCATCAACCGCATGGTGAGCCCGATGGCATTTAGGGGAAAGGGGTGACTTATGCATCACATGGCCGGATCATGAGCCAGAGAGGCTTCAGGAGGCTGAAACGATGCCTGGATCTGTTCGGCAGAAACAAGCACCTTACTTCTACAGTTGAAAGTCCCCCCCGACCCCCCTACCCCGTCACCTTCAATACCAAGATGTGGAGAACTCAGCTGATAACAGCATGACCCCCCCCCGCCCCCCAAGTTGGACGAGAGCCTTAGAGTTAACAGGAGCAAGTGAGGGGCTGCGGGCCAGATGTGGCCGATCACGAGAAGAGGAGTCTGGTCTGAAGCCGAGGCGGGGCCCTGAGACCGTCCCCTGGAGGGCGCAGAGGCGGCTGCAGGACGTGGCTTCCCTGCTGTGGCCGAGGGCACCCAGAGTGTGGGTGCGGGTGGCCCCCGCGCTGGGAACCGTGCCGGGGAGGCGCCGTGACGGAGGAGAGAATAGAAAGGAGCATCGCAAGTGGACGCACACAGGGAGTTGGGCGGGAGGGACCAGCACAGCCACTGACCAGCCACAGACACCGAGACCCTCGGCCCCCAGGGCCTGGATGACAGCGCGGAAGACGCAAGCGGGTAGCAGATGCGGTGGGGTGTCTGGAGCGCAGACCCGGAAGGTGAACAGTAAAGATACGGAGCCGATGGTGGGATCTCCTGTCCCTTCCAGAGTCTCCCAAAGCCAACAAGCCCAGGCTCAGCCG